TGATTAAAAAAGTTCATCGATTTTTCAGCTTATTTCGATTTGTCGATATGCCTTTTCTTCATATTGTACTTTGTACTTAAGTATGTTCTTTCGTCCTTACTAAGAGAGTTCTCCATTTCACCTGTATAATACTTTTCCTCATAGGTACAAAATTCTTTGATAATAATTATTATTTATGTTCCATACAGACATTATCATAACTATTATTATTTGATATGTGGGTGTTAGCGAACATCTAAAAAAGTATGAAAATATGTTTTAGGCATTAAGGCACCATCCATATAACAATGCTTTCACAATATGTATCCGATTTTTTAGTATATCTCACCCACGGCATACATATCGAAACAACGAAACAATGAACGATCGAGCACGCCCCAGAATAAAACGCCATTCACAATATGTTCATTATTTTAAATGAAAAAATGTGAATAGAGATGACTCGAATGTGGGAGCGTTCTTCAAAAAGAGAACTAAATCTCCTCGTTAGCGCTGTTAGCATAGGCGGGGTATGTAAAGTATTCCAGGGGGGAATAGTCTTGCCTAGAGTTGTTTAATTGCCTATAGAAGGTGTGGCATGATGGTATCTTGTACAAAATGATCGATATGGGCTTTCCTGACGATTTGATTCAGTTGATGTGTTCATTTCTGAAAAATCGAACTTTTCAAGTGAAACTTGATGATCAACGATCTGGTTTCAAGCCCATTGAAGCTGGTGTTCCTCAGGGTGCAGTTTTATCGCCGCTGTTGTACAGTTTATGTACTAGCGATTTGCCGAGACCAGTGATGTGCAAGATGTCGCTTTTTGCTGATGATACGGCAATTCTTGCATATTCGACAAATTTTGAGCAAGCAGCTATGAACCTCCAAAGCGCGCTGAGTTCTCTTCAGGAGCACTTCCTCAGATGGAAGATCAAATTGAATCCTGCAAAAACACAATTGGTCGCACTTGGAAGGGAGCGGAGGCCTCCCAGAACCAGAATAGTCCTGGATGGTCATGAGTTAGAGTGGTCTTCACAAGTTAAATACTTAGGTGTGTGCATTGACAAAAAGCTCACCTGGGTCTAGCACATTGTACAGCAAGTTTCAAAAGCTGAACGAGCCATTGGAGACCTGTATTCATTTGTAAGCAGACGAAGTAAATTGGGTTTGAGACAAAAGTTGAATTAGTATTTACATCATGGCTATCAGGCCAATTTTAATGTATGCCTCGGTAGTCTGTGGCCACACAGCTAAATCTCATATCACCAGATTACAAACATTACAAAACAAAATCACTAGAATGGTGAAAGGATCTCCTTGGTATGTTCGGAATAACCAGATCGCCAGGGATCTGAAACTCCCTTCAATAGTGTCCGTATTTAGATAACGAAACATCAAGACTTTCGAAAAATCTTTGGAAGAAGTCCATGGTAACTCAAAGTGGAGTGGTGTAGTTCATAGATGAAAACCTGAGGTTCATGAGAATCAGCTTCTTCGAAATGCAGTTGATTATGCCCAGGTTAACAATCATAGTTCAAAAGACCGAGATTATCCATATACTAGAGAAAATATCAACATCATGATCGAATTCACTATTCTCAAGGTTTTGATATTTATTTATTCCGTTCGATCTTTTTCAATTCTCAGAATGTATTTCTGAAACTTATTTGGGGCAGAAGGGCTGTTCGCATCAAAGTTCAATACCGTTTTCATTTTGTTTTATAATAGATATCAGGATAAGAGGGACTCTTCTCTGGTCTGAATCAAATAAAAGAAAGATCCAATATATATATAGTGTGAGGACTCACTTGTCATGTCTTGATACATCTGAAAAAATGACGTGAGAGACAAAACGTTTTTATAAGTGATGGAATGATTCTTCCGACACCTCTCTATTGACCGAGTGACATTATTTTCCGTAGAAATCCAAACAGTAGCATATTACCATACAGGGTGGTCCGGTTTGTAATACAAAAAATTCAACAGTGTGTTGTACCCGTTGAAATAATAAATAAAGTCCATATAAATATATACTTTTGAACGCGTCGTTTTCGAGATATAGAGTATTGAAAATACGAGCCTGAAAATATGTTTTTTTTGATAAAAAGCTCGAAACGGTCTGAGACAAATCAACAAAAATCTTTTCAGATACTTAACTGTCACCCTCTATGAGATGACATAATTTTTTTTTCATACTAATTCAGTGGCAGCTAAATCTAGGGGTGGGTGGTGGAGGTACATAAAATTTTTATTGTGTTTTTTTGTAGAATACCTTACAATACCCATTTCAGTACCTTCAGACGTCACCCGAGATATTTTGATTTCCACGGCAAACATGATTATGAGATACGTCACTGTTGAAATTTTTAACAAATAATAAAAATATATCTCACGAATTGATGTAACTCCCGTAGTTAGGTCACTTCGTGAGATTTGGTAGTCCAATAATTTGAGATAGGCTGAGTATTAGATATTTATTTACACTAAGACTAATGAATATTCAGCTACTCCACTTTGTGAGATCATAAAGTTTAAGTCATTTAACGAAGTATCTCAAATTCCGATAAAAGTTCGACTTGTATGTGTTGTTTCTTAGAATAGTTCATTGAGAAAAATAATTCAAAGTTGATCCTGCGTTAAACTGAGTTGATATTGGTGTCCAAAGACTTTTATGTGTAGCTTCTTGGTTCTTGGATTAGATTAGATGAAGATTAATTTGGCTTGTAATCCAGTTATTGCATCAGGTACTATATTTATGTTGGTCATGAGTTATGGTAGGTGTCCAACGACTTGTATGTCCACCTTCTTGCTTCTTGGATAAGGTTAACAGTTCATTGAGAAAACTAGATCGAAGTTGATCCTGCATTAGACTGAGTTGATATTGGTGTTCAAAGACTTGTATGTGTATCTTCTTGGATCTGGATTAGATTAGATGAAGAATAATTTGCCTTGTAATCTAGTTTTTGAATCAGGTACTATATTAATGTTGGTGATGAGCTATGGTAGGTGTCCAAAGACTTGTATGTCCAGCTTCTTGCTTCTTGGATAAGTATTTTTTTTCTAATGTTCTGGTTCCCACGAAAATGGATATCCTGTAATGTTCAGAGAACATCGTGAGAATCAAGGAACATGAGGTAGGAATTGGTGTTCTGCTTAAATTTCTGGAGGTTATATGCCTCGGGAAACACCTCCCTTGGCAATGTGTTCTAGAGATAAATAGTTCATTGAGAAAATTAGTTCGAAGTTGATCCTTCTGTGGGGCAATGAAATGACCTCCGACCTCTTATTCCCGCCTATGTGATGACTGATTGCCGAATCGATAGAAACGTTCGTTATAGGTGTCGAAAGGGGAAAGTTGATGGGAATAGGCACACACACATACACCCAAGCAGCATTCGCTGGATCAATTAGCGCTATTCAATTATATTTATTATTCGCGTTTGCATTGCAATGTCGATAACGCCGCAGTGGTTATATAGAAAGTTCGATTTACGATGCTCACCGAGAAATTTATTCCGACTGATTATATCCTTGGTATTCGAATGTAGGTACACGTATTATAAGAGAGAAGGTATAGAACGTCTTTATCGAGAACGTTTATCTGCCAGCTATTCAAACGTTTCGACACCTTTTACATGCCCTAGGTACATACATACAGTGGGATTCATTCCTTTTTCCTCCACTAACTTTACTATAAAACCTAAAATTATTTACTCATTTTTGAGGAAGATAGATTTTCGTCATTCTATGAACCACTAAAAAATGGTACTCGAATCTAAACTGGGCGTCAATTGAAACGTTTATAGTGAAATTTGGCATCAAGTTTGACTTCTCGTAATTTCTAAAATATTGAACGAATTTTGAATTGCTGCCCAGATTCTGAATGCCTTTTTCATCGTCTTTCGAACCGTTCCTTACAGCTTCTTCTGAATTGATCAGGACCCGTGATACAGGGTGAAACAAAGTTTCGTGCACTTGGAAAAAAATTTCTCCGCCCCCCCCATTTTGTCAGAAGACCACGATGCTCATATTTTATTCTGGCATTTCATAAATAGCAACCATACCTCGGGACATTTTCGAATTTCTGCCAAAAACTACTGTGGTTTCGAAAAAAATATTTTTTTTTTGCAATTTTTTAAATGGACTAATTTTAGAGAAGTTCCATGAATGGATGCTTTTATGCATTTCAGGAAATCGGTGGAGCAGATATGTATACCAGGTTACTCAAAAACAATCAATAATTTACTCTAATTTATTACTTCGCAGTCTATGATAAAAGTTGTCTACCTTAGTGAGCAGTAAATCAACACATCTCATCAACAAATACAAACAACGATACCTTGTTTCTATAACAACGTATTGTTGAAACAATATAGGTATGCATAGAGGTTATATCAATTGCCAATTTTCATGAAAACGTCAGTGTAATTCGGGTCCTAAAAAATTTAAAGATGCCTCGTTCAAATCGGCTCGAAATGGAAAATATCATTAGGTAAGCTCTTGCTGTACAGGGTGTTTTTAAATTCGAGCATGTTGAACCCTAATCAATGGTCTACGAAAATCACAGGCAAACTTTAAAATATAATATCTTCCACACGTGCCTCCTTTTACTGAATCATATTGACCTATTCCACATTTTAGAAATATAAATTTAATTCAGATTTGAGATGAATTGATTGATTTAATCTATCGATGATATTGCTTCAGTGGATATTCTCACATTCCTCAGTTGTTTCAAAATATATGTCACTCGAATTTATTATGCTTTCGACACCTTTAATTATAACATAGATCCTTTTGGAATTTCTTAATTTTATGCTTATCGATTGGAACTCGGAATGAGATATGAAAAATAGTTATACGTTATTCTCAAGATTAATAATTATTACTGTCGCTTTCATTATTTTTCAAGGCACAATTATATTTTTATAACATATAAAATAATTGAGTAATAGTGAAGTTAATTATTCGAACGAAATAGCTGTCTCAACAGTTTTTTCAAAAATTCAATGTGTGTATTATTTTCAATGTTCGTTTTTTTGCAGTTACTACTCCCTCCCCTCCTGCACGGCCATGGATTCCCCTGACCAGGCCGTCTACAAATAGGCCAACATGTAAGTAGTACTTTTCAACAAGTTTTCCATGTTTTGATTTGAGTTTTTATGTCCAGTTCAGGTATGTAATACAGTTAATCGTTTTTCTTTCATTTTTCTTTCAGTGTCTTTATATATTCAATCGAATACCTGATATTTTGAAATGGGTTTCAGGTGTACAACAAGTTCGAGGGTGACTTCTTGAAAGTTAATCTATTCGTATTTTCCATGGTTTCCAAGAAATTTCTGTATTTTTTATGAGACAAATAACGCTTTTGGGAATTATGCGTAAAAGAATCTTTCACATGGAATGGAAGTAGAAATCCTCATATCTGTTCGAAAACATGATCCCCTGAAATTCTCAAAATAATACACATTTTTAATCCAATATTTCAAAATTTGGAACTCTTATAAACTTCCCTCGTGATTATAGCTTTTCTGTTCAATTCTAAATTCAGAAGGTACCCTAATCGTGTTCTGGAAGCATTGGCGTCATTCGTAGGGGGGGGGCAGGAGGTGGGCAATCGCCCCCTAATTCTTTACAAAAAATTAATTCGACATTTTTGTAAGTTTCTATCAAACACACATCAGTATCAGTACCTGAAATTGAAAGAATATTTATTATTTCATAGTTTTTGATTCATCATGCAGTTTTTTTTTCTTTTATCAACATACTAATTTTTGCTATAAACATTACATTGCATCTTATATAAATAAATATAAATATATTCATTAACATTTACAATGAAATAACATGAATAATCGACAGATTCATATCTGGTATGAGATTATTCATGCGTTATCAAATTAAATTATAGTTATATCGAAATAAACAATAGATTAAAAAAAAATAATAATAATAAAACAAAAAGCTCATGAATAGTTATTTATTATACAAGAGAAAAAAGTAGTAGAATTTAGTTCCAGGTTGTGTTGTCTCCCGACGCGTAGCGGAGGGAGACAACAAACCGTGAGCTGAAATCTAATATTTTTCCCATGTATAATACACTATTTTTTTCTGTGACAGAAGAAAGGACAAATCAATATTGAGAGATATTACATTATTTCGAAATCAGAAAATCATCGACGTGAAATTTTAAGTTTTCAACAGTAGGGACACCTGCGTTGTAGGCATCTTTATCATTCTTTTGAAGTAATCAAATATCTGATGTCACTTCTGCCAGTCTAATTCTGTGATTTGATTTCAAGAAATTGCGAATTCAGTGGTTATTTAGTATTATACGTAACCGCGAAGTCGAATGGAAGATAAAAGGACTTGCAGTTCTTTCTCGGAGACGGTATTATTGACTCATTTCTCGAAACTATAGCACAACAAAAGCCATCAACAGTGTATATATATGTGATATATATCCGGGAAAAAAGTACTCACTTTTTGCCCACGAGAAAAAAGTAATTTATGAAAAGTGACATTTTATAACCTGCCAACAAGGATGAAATGCCAAACTATTTTCCCGTCACAGAAAAAAAGTACTTTATGACATGATGAAATAAATTAGTGAATGAGAAATCATTCACTCAGGTTTTATTTTTTCTTTGCAAGAGGATATGTTTCTCGACTTTAATTTTAAATGGGCGTATATCACAAAAAAAAATTATTTCATAATTCGATAGAACTCACCCAAACTAGCTCTCCATCGAAAACCGTTTCTAGGTTTTATAAAAAATTATTGAAATCCCCGATTTTTCGGACCTCTGAAAACGAGGCGATGATGTGACGTCAAAACCCTAATACTGAAACAAGAGATGAATGATACATGATTTCTGACAGAGTGAATTAGCGCGAGATCACAGTTGAAAGAATTAATATATCAGTTGCCTCAGTCTCCGTCGGGCGTTTGGAATTTTCTTTTAACTATGGCGAGATGAGGTTTCTACGTCATATAAGAGGGTCCGTTTTCAGAAGGTACTATTATTTATGTCCAAAAATAAAACATTCCAGTTATTTTTTCGATCGAATTATGTCGTCAATCATCATTCATGTATAAAAGGAAAGTTGATTTAATGGGGTGTCATATCGACGATACAGTACTTTCAATACTAATGATGATAACAGTAATTAAGACCAAATTGATACTGAAACAGTTAGTTGAAAAAGCTTGGACCACAAGTACAGAAGACTACAAACTTCACTGTCACAAGAACGGATTGATTTAACATGAAAAGTACTCACTTTTTAAATTGGAAAAGTACAAAAAAGTATCTACAGAGAAGTAACAATCATGTTTTGCCAACATTCCAATGTTGAATATAGAAGAATATTGATTGAATAAAAATGCACTGGCTTATCTTACTTAGAGGCGACTTACGAGCAACATGGAAATTATTCAAATTCATCGATTATTTCGATTCCCAATAACTCGAAAACAGTTGCTAGCAGCGACCTCTACCAGGAATATATTGTTTAGACAAAAGTGTTTTAGAAATCTATTTTTCTATTATAAAACGTTATACATGTACTCACAAAAAAGTTAAGACTCTTCATGAGACTCCACGAAAGAGACAAACTAACCTAAAATTTATATTGTCATTGAAAAATATCCCTAGATACCAAATTTTATTCCAATATCACTATTAGTTTGAAATTTATTAACAAAAAACAAAAATAAGAATTCAACTTTGACACTCTGTATCTCAGAAACGGATAACTTTCGGACTTATGTTTATACGATTTTTTCTTCTTATTTTGACGTCAGCAACATGCTCCTAAATTTTCTACACGTACTCAAGAATAACCCTGTATAATCTTCATTCATTCCATGGAGTAATACTGAGTGAATCGAAGAAATACTACTAAGGGACGACCTCTCTTTTTACAGGTATCTTTACTGTGATGTGTTACAACGTTCTTTGTGATAAATACGCGACCAGACAGATGTACAGCTACTGCCCGAGCTGGGCGCTCAGCTGGGACTACCGCAAAAAGGGCATCTTGGAGGAAATCAGGCACTACGGCGCCGACGTCATCAATCTGCAGGAGGTCGAGATGGACCAGTTCTACAACTACTTCCTGCCCGAGCTCAAGATGGACGGCTATCAGGGCATCTACTCGCCCAAGTCGAGGGCGAAGCATATGGCGGAGAGCGAAAGGAAGTACGTCGACGGCTGTGCAATATTTTATAGGGATTCTAAGTAAGTATAAACACCCAGTACGTTGAGATATTTTCGGTCACTTTACTTCACATTCTGATAGGAATATTGTTTTTCTACTACTGCTATGAAAAGTAGCGCATTTCTCATAGCTTACTTACTTTCAAAACCATGTATTGCCCATACTGTGAGAAATATTTTTTCTCACGTCACTTTGCCAACACCACATACATTTCCATGGAAAATCAACAGAAATCGATCAAAACTTGGCTGCTGTTCAGCTTCGAATAGTTGTCACAACTGTCAGAAGAAGTTTCTTAAATTCTTTAGGGTAGTTCTCATTAATGCTTTTGATAGAAATCGCATTTTACATCGAATATTATTTCAACAATTCAAAATAAATGATATGATGTATATACCGAGATGTGACGATTTTGATAAATACACCGCCAGAGACAGAGATAATGGAAAAAGCTGCGAAAGTTGAATTTGTTTCCAGAAATTTCAAGGAAAAAGTATGAATTGGCGTATTGGTACGAAAAATTTAGGGAATCTAAAAATATACAGAAATAAATTCTTCTTCGGGAAGTGTACTTTTTTTAAATACTTTGAGGAACTAGGAAAGGCGTCTACTCTTTGGTCACAATATTCAATGTAGCATAGTGCCACATTATAAAATGAAAACCAATAAGTTACGTTACTCGGAATCTTTGAATAAATGCAGTTGTAGAAAAAGTATAGTGTGCAACATGTGGGGAAAAGCACTCTTCTCACTTGTTGCACAATATACTATTGTGGTTCCGACGGAATCCCACCGATTGTTCCCAAGAAATGTGCTCCCGAACTAACACCTGTTCTCTGCAAGTTGTTCAACTACTCTTACAAATTGGGGATATTTCCGCCCAACTGGAAAATTGCAAGAGTACCACCAGTTTCTAAAAAAGACAAAAAGGCCCTACCTAGCAACTACAGACCGATCGCACTGCTATCTATGATTTCAAAGATAATGGAGAAAGCTATCAACAATGAACTCATGAAAGCATTCGATCGAGTCTGGCACCACGGACTCCTCGCCAAGCTTCCATCTTATGGCTTGCCTCCCCAGCTATGTTCAATGCTAGCTAGTTTTATCTCAAACAGGTCTCTCCATGCTGTGATCGACGGAGTTTCATCTGATCTGACCCTCTTATCATAATTGCTGGTGTTCCGCAAGGATCAATTCTAGCACCAACACTATTTCAACTCCATATCAACAATTTGTTGGAAGCAACTCCATGTCCAGTACACAGCTTCGCGGATGATACTGCCATCCATACCGCCTTTTCTTCCAGGGCTCCAATACTATCCAGGAAAATCAGAAACGAACGAGGGAGAAATGTTGACAACATGAATATGGACTTGGCAACAATTCTAGAATAGGGTTCCAATAACTTGGTAGAATTCAATGCAAACAAAGCACAAGCATGCCTTTTCTCTAGGCAAGCCAATCCGACTGTGCCCAACATAAGCCTGTCAGGAGTAACCATACGAGGGAGAAATGTTGACAACATGAATAAGGACTTGGCAACAATTCGCGAATAGATCCCCAATAACTTGGTAAATTGCGATGCGAACAAAACACAAGCATGCGCTTTCTCTAGAAAAGCCTATCTCAGTGTGCCCAACATAAGCTTTGAAGACATCCATTTCGATGCTTGGTATTACTCTCAGCATAAACCTTTCTTGGGAAAATCACGTGAGATCAATTGCTGAAGGTTCATCCCAAAAACTTGGTTTTCTGTTTCGGGCCAGGAGCTATTTCACTTCCAGTCAGCTGCTTATGATCTATAAGGCACAGATCCGACCTATCCTGAAATACTGTTCCCATATTTGGAGTGCAGCAGCCAAACATACCCTGAAACTGTTGGATTCTGTCCAAAAAAGTGCAATTCGTCTAGTGGGTGATGCCTCGCTTACAAACTCACTCACTTCTCTGGAACACCGTAGAAAAGTTGGCGATCTGGCTCTATTTTATAGATATTTTTATGGACGATGCTCTTCTGAAATATCAATAATTGTTCCTCCCTTGGCAGTCCCCGCGAGATTAACCCGTCGAGTTGAGGCTTGGCACCCCTTCGTGGTCACTTTGGAGACCTACAGAACATCTCCATCTTCATCCAACGAACAGCGAGGCTCTGGAACACATGCCGAGGGCAGTGTTCCCCGAGGCATATAACCTCCAGAAATTTAGGAAGAACACCAATTCCTACCTTATTTCCCGTGGTTCTCTGAACATTACAGGATATCCCTTTTCGTGGGAACCAGAACAGAAAAAAAACTGTTGCTGGGCGTTCCGTGTGTTCAGACTTCTTGAGACAGTGCGGTTCGGTAAGTAATGCGTTGGAGCAAGGTTTTTTCACGAATTACTGCTTCCACTCGATGTTCAGGAATTGTTGGCTTCATTCTGACAGGTTATGGATTTGTTATTTATGCATTGAAATATTTCGAATAGAGCCCGATAATAAACGAAAATATCATTGAATCAATGAATCACTATCGTTATTCATTAGCAAAAAAATGACTGACAAGTTATGAATGAATTGTAATTTAACTATAGTGAAAAATCATAGATTCTATCGCAAAATATCATAATTTATCTTTATTAGTAATCAACTTCATTCAGCCAATGAGAGATTTATGGGAATCATTCATAATACTTGACAAAGTAGTATTGAAGAACCTATTATATCCCATTGCTGTTATGATATAGTTATTATGCATTCAAAGATCAATTTCCGGAAATCTAGACATATTATTATTGATGATGTCGGCAACGTCGTACTGGCAGAGGGAATCGTATTTTAACTCTGTGTGAAAGTGGATTTTCAGAAAGTAAGTCATAGAAATGGTGGAGGAGCCAAGTTCCTTCTTTATTTATTTCTTTCTGAAGTGAAATTTGATCTCACGACAAAAAGAAAAAAAATACGTATACATTATTTTTTAACAAACTTCACAGTGAGATGAAAACCTCAATGTAAGAAACTGAGAGAATAGTTACTGATTTCCAGAAAGGATATGTGGTTGGTCAACTCTTCCAAGTATACTGTTTTAACTCCATATTACTGAACTTTTAACCCAATGGTCTGGGCTGCTATCACCGCAATGGATGATCAGTTTTCAATAGCAGCAAGACAGTAGTTGACGAGATAACTAGAGAAATTGCGTAACTCATATGAAAAAAGAGTAGCTTACCACATACATATCAATCTAGTTATTATAAATTCAATTGGTGTGATTACTTTCTATGAAAAGGACTTTAAAAATCTCTCGATATCGCCTAATTTGTAAAAATAGTGACGAGTGGAAAAATCTTGCATAATTTCAGAACAAAGGACCCCGCACGGAAACACTCAGAAACGAAACATAAAAAATTGAAAAACTTTTTGCATATGATAGTCAACATAATTATTCAAAATAGTGTGAGTATAATGAGATCCAAATTGACGGAAGTGTTTTCGATATATTCAATTGAAACATTTTAAATAATCTTCAGCAAAATCTAACACACCTCAACTGAATTCGCTAGTGAGTTACCTCAGCTTTCATTCAATCAACAGTATCAATCAATCCCTTTCTTTGTTATCAATAACAAGCTGTCAATTGTTTTCCAAAAGGGGTATGGCACAAAATTCAAAGAATTCATATTTCGATCAGAGAAAGTTATCAAGAATCCAAATACGTCTTCGAAGCCTACAGTAGACTAAAACAATAAGTCTCATCAAAATATAACTTGTTGGTTTTGGAATAGTTCTCGAATTTTTTTTTCCGAAAAATGAATTTTTTGACCGTGCCTCGTATTCACCCTGATTTACTATAGTTTATGTGATCATAACTAGACATGTATTTGAGTTCCGATCAACACATTTTCTAGATTAATTTGTCTCATTTATACTAAAGAAACAGTTTTTTTTTTTCGTCAATCCTACCCCGATACGACGTTTTTACGAACTTTGTCGGCTTATATCTCAGAAACTAGACATACAAAACTTTTCAAACTCACATATTTTTCTAATGAGCCATCCCACATAGTAAAATTTCAGCCAATTCGACCGAGAGCCAATTTACCGTGTCCTTTACAAGGATACTGAAAGATTATTATGACTACATTTTCATTTCTAAAATTCTTGTTGTAATTTAAACGTTTTTTTTATATATTTTCGACTTTCAATGGTGAATTCATCCACAACTTAGGTCCTATCTCATAAATAACCTGTGATAATAAATATGCAAAAAAAATATAATTCTGTCGAAAAAATCCGGTATACTTATGAATTGTGATATATGTTATGTTTGTCTAAATTAATAACAATTATTTTTTCATTTCTGAGATAGGTATTCGTGATCAAAATTACCTTGACGCCTGTCTCTTCTTTGTTCCGTATATCATTGTTATTTTTCGCTAATAGAGATCGTTCGAAACACTTGAGGCACACATACAGTTTCATTCTCGATCCATCAAAGATCAAAGGCTATTATTCATTCTGAATTGATAGAGAATGGTTAACTTTACCTTGAAGAAGTAAGAAGTGTGTAAATCGCATCTATTTGACATTTACCTTTCAGGTACTGAATATTCATCGGTAAAAGAAAAGAGTTGTACCTGGTTGATTTAGTTTGGTTGTTTTTTTCGACCAATTAAATTTTGAAAGTCTGACTTTCATGTCTCGCCTTTCTCTAATTGCAAACCTGGGACTCAGGAGAGAAACTGATATTGATTGAATAATTAATTTGAAATAGACGAAGCATCATTTCCATATTTTGTTGTATCAGGCAGTATCATTTCAGAATTAGAGCTAGTCTGTGTTTTTAAGTGGTTATTCGATTTTTTTTAGTTAATTGTTTTAAGCCAGCAATCGTTTATTTTATACAGGGTGTATCTAAATAACACCAAAAAAATGGGATAAAAATATGAAACTCGAAGAAACCGGTGGCGTACAATGACATTCACCGTAAATATCGATAAATTCACCCACTATGACGCCACTGGAAATATTATTTCGAATCTAATTGAACCCGAAGAAGCTCCTTATTACTATTAAAAAAACCACAACGTTTTATTGGAATTGATGAAAACACAATTGAGTAATGAATAAAAAAACGATCTTTCATGGAAATATTAATACCCTGTATCTCGAAAACGAAGCAAGTTAGGACACATTTTCATATGAACTTTATTTTCTAAAATATCACAAGGAATCACCCCTTTATTTGTTTCGGCGTTATTAAGATACACCCTGTATATCTCTCAATGATGAAGTACAACCAGTTCCTAAAATAGGCAGAAAGACCCTACCTGGCAACTACAGAGCGATCGCACTTCTATCTATTATTTCAAAGATCATGGAGAAAGCTATCAACATCGAGCTCATGAAATACCTGGAACACTCAACGATAGGCAATATGGCTTCCGTCATCAGAGATCAACTGGTGACCTGCTCGCTTACGTCTCACATATACGGCAGCAATCTATTGAAAAATATGGTGAAACCTTAGCCGTCGCACTTGATATCTCCAAGGCATTCGATCGAGTCTGGCACCACGGACTCCTCTCCAGGCTTCCATTCTATGGCTTGCCTGCACAGCTATGTTCTTTGCTAGCTAGTTTTCTCTCAAACAGGTCTCTTCATGTAGTGGTCGACGGAGTTCCATCTGACTCTCTTATCATAAATTCTGGTGTTCCACAAGGATCAATTATTATAGCACCAACACTATTTCTACTCCATATCAACGATTTGTTGGAAGCAACTTCATATCCAGTACACAGCTTCCGTGATGATAGTACCTTCCATACCGCCTTCTCTTCCAGGGCTCCAATACCAGCCAGGAAAATCAGAAACGAACGAGGGAGAAATGTTGACAACATAAATATGGACTTGGCAACAATTCTAGAATAGGGTTTCAATAACTTGGTAGAATTCAATGCAAACAAAGCACAAGCATGCCTTTTCTCTAGGCAAGCCAATCCGACTGTGCCCAACATAAGCCTGTCAGGAGTAACCATATCTTTGAAGACATCCATTTCGATGCTTGGTATTTTTATCAGCAATAACCTTTCTTGGGAAAATCACGTGAGATCAATTGCTTAAAGTGCATCCCAAAAACTTGGTTTTCTGTTTCGGGCCAGAAGCTATTTCACTTCCAGTCAGCTGCTTATGATCTATAAGGCACAGATCCGACCTATCCTGGAATACCCTTCCCATATTTGGAGTGCAGCACCCAAACATACCCTGAAACTGTTGGATTCTGTCCAAAAAAGGGCAATTCGTCTTATGGGTGATGCCTCGCTCACAAACTCACTTTTCTGGAACACCGTAGAAAAGTTGTCGATCTGGCTCCATTTTATAGATATTTTCATGGAAGATGCTCTTCTGAAATATCAACAATTGTTCCTCCCTTGGCAGTCCACGCTAGATTAACCCGTCGAGTTGAGGCTTCGCACCCCTTCATGGTCACTTTGGAGACCTGCAGAACATCTCTTTCCAAAGACTCGTTCATCCAACGAACAGCGAGGCTGTTCAACACAATGCCAAGGGAGATGGCTCCGAAGCATATAACCTCCAGAAATTTAAGAAGAACACCAATTCCTACCTTATTTCCATTGATTCTCACGAAGTTCTCTGAACATTACAGGATACTCCTTTTCGTGGGAACCAGAAGATGAAAAAAATCAGGCAGTATCATTGCAGAATTAGAGCTAGTCTATGTTTTTAAGTGGCTAATCGAATGTTTCATAGTTTATTGCTTTAAGACAGCAATCCTTCATCTAACATCTCTCTCAATGATGAAGTACTAGATCTCTTGATCTTTTACCATGCCAATCAACAACAATATTAGTTCACAAGTCAGGTGATTTTTAGCAAACAAAAATATTTCGTTGTTATAATACAGGATATGAAAAAGGACCATTCTGATTGGTAAATCGACAATGACTGATGTTTTTTTTTTAATTTCAGATTTAAATTAGTGAAAGAACATCTTGTAGAATTCAATCAGTTGGCGATGGCGAACGCTGACGGTTTGGAACACATGTTGAATAGGGTGATGCCAAAAGACAATATAGGACTAGCTGCTCTCTTGCAAACGAAAGATGCAGCATGGGATAACAGTAAGTTAATTTTTTAATTGGCTACACTCTAAATCGCACACGTAAAATTATAATAATTGTATTTGAGCTTCATGAAGACGTTGGATACTGAATTTTCAACAGATACGGTCAGTTGTTGTCGTTGTGATTTTAGTCCATCTCCAGGAGATAAGTTAATATTTCGAATAATGCTATAACTTTCAACAATAGATTCTTGCGATTAATCAATAACCTCAATGAGAATCAATTTAAAATTTTTGGACTTTTTCAGTCTTCAATCATACTGTATTTTGGCACCATGGAAGCTTATACAGGGCCGTTATCATTAAAAACAATTAATACTTCCAACTTCAACATCTTGTATATCAAAAACGAAGCAAGTTAGGACACATGTTTGTATTAACTTCATTTCCTAAATTATCACGAGGAAACACCCACTGAGATTTGTCGCAGTTCTTTACTAACACCCTGTATAAATATATGAAATAATTACCTATTTTCTAAACTATCAACACTTGAAAGACATTGAATTGATAAAACAGATCATTGTTTACCATTTTCGACCTTGTTATGATATAGCAAGCATAAAATTGATGTTGTCGAGATAGCAAGAAAACACAAGATTTCTTCAAAATTGACAATCGATAATCAGAATTCCACTTTTTCGAATCTTGCTGTGATAGCAATATCTTCTCCACAACCATATTGCTATTTGCAAGCAGAATCTTCTCAAATTAGACACTACTCACTGTTTTACCACTAACCAAACCGATTCTTTACACCTCGACACGTGTTTCGCTAGCTATGTTAGCATCTTCAGAGACTGACAGTCAACATGTTGACTGCCGAGAAAATAGCTGTCCCTCAAGCCGACACGGGCCATATGACCGTAAATTTTTTTTGTTACTCACGTCGGCTCGGTCAATATGACAAGAGTCAGTTTTTTGTATTTTACGAACTTGACTCTCGGTATCGAATGGTTTCAATCATAGAAAGTGCCGAGCTCAATTTTTTTATTCCGTAAATTTTTTCCAGGTCCTCCCGACGCCCCCTTTCTGCAGCAGCCGCTGCTGGTGTGCACGGCGCACGTGCATTGGGATCCGGAGTTCTGCGACGTCAAGCTCATCCAGACGATGATGCTGTCGCAAGAGCTGAAGACGATCCTCGAGGAGTCCGCGCAGACCCTCAAGACGCTCAGCATCAACACGGATCCCAGCAACATTCAGGTGAGGGAGATGGAATTATCTTTTTTTTATTATTGGTGTGCTATTTTGCTTACTCAGCGGACGGCGCTCGGCGCTAGGATTCTAGCAAAACCATTATCAGAGTAGAACAAAGAAAACTGAAGGTACTGTTAAATCTTCATTACTCTTTAATGTTCGTGATAATTACCACAGATGTCGCTACTGATATCGAACTATTATGATATATCAATAACTGTTGTTAATATTCATTAAAAATTACTTGAAGCAAGTATCGATTTATATATCTTTACAGGTGATATGTTGAGATTCGTTTTTTCTGCAATAAAATTGTGGAGGCTGATTTTGGCCAGAGATTTTCATTCTGGTCCTCATATAGGATGGCGTCAGTCAACTGTGATCATTTTTTCAGTGATTTAGGCTTCCAAGGATGTTTTTCCTTCCTCTCGAGACCCCGAGAGTTTCGTTAATAATTCTAGTTTTTCTACGAGCGAATGCGCATGCGTCCATAATGTATCACGTGATTCACTGTGACCAATCTGACAGTGAGGGTTGGGAATGATTCGAAGGCTCTCGTCCCATTTTTATGTTCAATTCATGTATTAAATAAGTAGGTAGAGATAACTAGCACCAACATACCTGTTTATTCCCGGCAGCCCTTTAATTAGACCAGGAAAAATATAGGCAACCCTACGTTTGCATATTCAGGTTTTGTACTTACGGTTGGTGTACATTTTTTTCATTAAACACATCGGTATAGAAATTTAAAAAGAGAGTGATTTTTGAATTTTTAATATTATTGTATTTACCACTCACAGTCAGCAGTTTTACAAGTAATCAATTTTATACAAGATAGACTTGACCAAGGAAATTATGTAGTAGCTATTTTTATGGACCTAGCATTCGATACAGTTTACCATAATATTCTCCTGAAAAACCTTAATTCAATGGGCATCAGATGTATTGGAAACAATCTCTTGAAAACATATCTAGAAAAAAGGAATATCAATACTAAAACCAATAATTGTGAATCTAAAATACTATATATAAACAAAGGAGTTCCCCAAGGTTTTCATAATAAAAACTGTGAGATTACTATTTACCTGAAAAATCATATCCCTTCGTCTCTCGCTGCAATTTTTGTGCATTGTACAACAGCATAAGGAAAAAGCATTCTTGAAATAATGAATTGCATACAAAACACGATTCGCATGCCAAAAATATTGTGAAAAACTATTTCAATCCTTTGATTCCTCTGTAAACAAATAATGAAAGTGAGGTTGTGTTTCAATAATTCACAGAAGAATGAGGTTGTGTTTCAATATTTTACTTCCAGGGTCGGTCATCGTGCACGCGACCTATTATCATGGTATTTTGGGTGTATTTTGTATTTGTCAAGTTACTCTTCTCGTGTTCCAGCTGGTGCTGTGCGGCGATTTTAATTCGCTGCCTGACTCGGGCGTGATCGAGTTCCTGAGCACGGGCCGCGTGTCGCAGGATCACAAGGACTTCAAGGCGCTCAGCTACAAGGCCTGTCTCGAGAAGGTGCTCAGCTGCGACAAGCCGAACGAGTTCACGCACAACTTCAAGTTGGCTTCGGCCTACAACGACGAGATCATGCCCTTCACGAATTACACGTGAGTTGAGATTTGAAACAGTGATTCTTTTTATCTTCGACACCTCTGTAAAAATTGGAATGCCACCGTTGTCGTAACTTTGATGTTCTTTCGGAAACTGTCGGAGGAAATTTCGGAGTTTGTTCGCTTGAACTGCTCGTTGCTACCTGTGAAAGCTCCAGCTGCTTGGCATTCACTGTTTTTCCAGGTAGTCTTGATGGTTTGATCCGACTCGAAGGACCATTATGTTCGATGCCTATTTGTATGGTTATTTATGATATATGATAATGAAATAACGATTGATATTGGGACTGCAATTCGTATTGCAATATTTCTTTGTTTATTAATCTTATGTTTTCAACAACACGTCGTTATGTTCAGCAAATGAAAATCTCTTATACCATATAAGGTAATACAAGTATCAAACTATTATATAGGGCCATACAAGTACTAAATCTTTGACCGCTGTGAAAATATTGACACGTTCCTGGCAATGAACTTGATCCTGTAATCTTACATTATAGAAATTCTGAAATTTCAGATTATATTTCCTAAGTTCTTCACAAATGAGGCAAAGCAGCACTTGAGATGTCCTGGAGTAACAGTAAATGCCAAGCAGCTGGAGCTTTCACATATTGTTTCAACAAGCAGTTCAAACGAAAATATTTCCTTCCAGCTTCGCCTTCAATTGCATCATCGGCTACATCTTCTACTCGGAAAGTTTGAAATTTTCTTCCAGCTTTGACTTCAAGTGCATCATTAACTACATATTTTACGCGAAGCAGACGATGACACTCATAATTTTCTTTTGAAGGTTCGGAATTTGTAATTCTGGCAATTCGAAACTTCAACATTAGTGAAGGAAGGAATGAGGCTTCGAAATTTGGAAGTCATTTTGCCGACATATTAGGAAGAAAATCAAATCTCCAGTGTCGCTCACAATTTTCTTTGTGTTACAGTATTGACTGCAGCAAAACAAGGTGATCGGCTGCCTGCATCCGCACGTCTATTCCGAAAACTTCCCTTTTGAATAGTCATTTTGTTAGTAGCTCCGATGCAGAATCGAAATTGCAACTCCAGTGGCGTCCAATTTTTTTTCGAATGTTCAAAAATTAAAAAAAACTACATCTACGCGAAGCAAACGATGACGTTCACGATTTTTTAATGAAAGTTTTCAAATGTTGTTCAGTACTTGTAGAATATAAGAAAATATAGAAAAATATTGGTCCTTCGAGCCGGATCTATTCGAATAAAACCTTCAAGACTGCCAAGTTCTCTACAATTCTCTTTATACAAATTTTCAATGTCTGTCCAGCTTCGACTTCAAGGGCATCATCGACTACATATTCTACGCGAAACAGACGATGACGCCTTTGGGGCTGCTCGGGCCCCTATCGCAGGACTGGCTGCAGCAGAACAAGGTGATCGGCTGCCCGCATCCGCACGTCTACTCTGATCACTTCCCCTTGCTGGTCGAGCTGGAGATGGTGCCGACGATCACGTCGTCGATGAACGGCCTCATCGGCCACAGGTGAGATACGCAGTCGTAGTATGACGACTGCTGCTCAGTAAAAAATCGTAATATAACTGCTGCTGCTGCTGATGGCTCATCATGACCCATTTCTAGTTCTTACAAAAAAGGGGTAACTGAAAGTACGAGACTATATTCAAACATATCAATATTTATTGAAGCATGAAACATTATGGGTAGTGATGATAAATATAATAAACAACAATGAATATAAAGACCTAACAACAACTTACATTATAATGACCATAATGACAAGCTTTTGTCAAGTCAAGAGTAGCCCCAGACCAGACTAACTTCGGAACCCTCACATTCAATATTTATATACAGTCGCATTAAAAAAAAAGCGTACAAGTATATTACAGAGAGAAATTAACGTCATCCTAACGCCTCTCTCATGTGACCCAAATGACTTCGCTGCTCTCACCCCAGGTCACTTCCTAATTGGTGACTCGCTTATATCAATACCTGAGGTAGCCTTGATGAGTATCCCTGGAAATCGTCTTAACCAATACCAAATGATACAGCAAGCTACTCAAATGTTTTGGAGACGATGGTCAACTGAATACCTCAACCTACTGCAGCAACGTTCGAAGTGAACCGAAAATTCACCCGAGATTATAAGAGATAATTCGCTAGTTCTCTTAATCGATGACAATGCACCATCAATCTGCTGGAAAATTGGCAGAATTATGCAGCTTCATTGTGGTTCTGATGGCATTGCCAGAACTGCTACTATTCGGACTCCAACGGGGGTGACTAAGCGAGCAGTGACAAAGCTGTGCTTACTTCCAATGGTCGATGAATTCAATAATTAAATGCCTAAAGTATTTTGAATTTTATGGTTGTTTTTGATAGACGGACTGGAATCTAGTTCGTAATAAATTCATCCTCTTTATAAAAGTGATGAAATGTTGATGTCATGAAATTGCTTAGCAACGAAAAATGATATTGAAAACTTCGACTGTTAATAAAAATCGATATCAAAAAGTATTCGAAAAAATCGTCAGTCATTGAACATAAAAGGAATACAAAATCCTACACATCCTATTCTGCATATCGGGAATGATTGTTCACCAAATGTTGACAGTAAAATTGTCATAGGTTCTCGAAAACACAAAGCATTGGGTGAGCCAGTTTTACACAGCTAGAACTAGGATACCGAAATCCTCTCTTTTTAATACTTGTACGCTTTTTTATTGAATACGACTGTACATCATTTTATGGGTTTTCGTGCTTCAATGTCAACGGATGATTTGATTAACTTTATGTTTATTATGCCCTCACGGTTCGAAATTACTAATATACCGTATGTTCGTGACAATATGGCCTCTTGTCTTACGACGTACAGCCAGAGCCTTATTACGGAGAATCCGTCCCCATCCGGCCTGGATACCGGCGTAAAAGGGTTTTGTTTTTCGAGCACCCTGGATGTCTCACTCGAAGTGATACCAGGTATTGTGCTCTTTCAGCGTTTCCAACTCACAATCACAAAAACATTAACCTGACTTCTGGCCTGAAAACGCCGCCTATCTTCCACCGCGGTCGGAAGTCGAATCCGTCAGGAAGTAAGGTTGACAATGTAGTTTGTCTTCTCCTTATTATTTTGTATTTTTTGGGAACTCAGGCATTACACATTCGAGATTAAATAAAATCTCGATCATTATTGGGAATTCATAATGGTACTAAAGCATCTTGCAAGTATAGAAGTATTCAATAAGTGATTATAAGGGACCAGGTCATTTTATTGTCTTCTGTGAATAGAGATGTTCTGTAAACGCATCTGAGAGCAGAGTTTCAGGAAAAAGATTCTCAGTCATGTGACCTCTGGAGCCGATAGATAAATAATATAAAAGAACACTCCTGGGAAGTCTATTACGAGGTCTATTAGTCTACTACTGCAATACCAATAAAAATTGTGATTTCTTACCGATTTGGATCAAAATGTTTAAATTTTCTATTATGGGCACGCCTTCTTCTGTGTAAACTATACTAGCTTCATTCATATATTTGGCTTCAATATTTGAGTAGTTTATCTATGACCTATACAAACTGTGCTGCTTATACTAAACGAATTAATTCACTTCAAACTCAAACCAAACCAGAAACCTGTGCTCAAACTCCCAACTCCAATAACTGACCTACAGTCTTCAGTCATTCAACAAAAAGATTCAAAAGTTGAAATATATCTAATTCCTCTGAATTAATAATCCGAGCAAAACGATTTAATTTTTTTCCTGGCTGTCTAATTACATAACGCTAAAAATAAATTGTGTCTTGCTCTAAATGACATTAAAAAACGGCTCCGGAGGTAAACAAGCAAATGAATGTGATTGCAGAACATATCTAATGTGAATACTATTGTCATTGGTCATATTGAATCTCATTAGGTATGATTACTAGTTGAACAAATCTGGCGGCGTCGAAATAAAAAAAAAAAATTGCGGTAATTTTAAATTACGAATTATTGCATCAAAATATATAATACATATGTATTTGGCGTGAATTCGACTAGTTTGTACAGCGCCATTATCAAAACAGGTGATGCTAAAAGAACTTTTTCTCTCCAGATCATTGTATGCTTTTTGACGTTTTCAGGGGTAAATCGAAGGATTTCGAGTATTTTCATCCTCGTGGCTATCAAAATCCGATCTGTTACGATACAAGTTTTTTGTCATGATGATGAGAAATAAGTATCAATATTGATATCAATTGCGAAAACTCGAAAAACCCAGTGTAAGAATCTCGAGGTTTGTATTCGGGTATTGTGAACGTTCTCTAAGGGTTGATGTCGATGCATGTTAGGTGAAATTATTGGAATTATAATGAAAGGGGTACTGTTCATATACAAGGTGCTCAACATTTCTTCTGCCAAACGATAGCAATAAGGAATTTTATCATTTTACTGCCTAGGTAGTGGAAGAAAATCATGTGGGGTGGTGGTGGTGGTTTTCAACGACTGGGTATCAGGAAAGATTTTTCAATTGGAGGAGGGATTTGGCTGTATTGATCATAAAAAGAATTTCAACTGTTCCTACGTGGTTCCTACACTTCTCCGAGAAATTGACGCACCACTAGAAAGTAGCCAAAAGTTTAAGAAACATTTTCGCCAAAAGTCACAAGTTGTGAAAGGGTCAGTAGCGAGTATCTACATTCAAAAAGAAGCGGATTTTAACATTTTCAGGTATATTCACTTTGAAATGCCGTACTTTCATTAAGAATGATCTGGATAGCATTTCACGAAATCACCATAGTAATCAAACTCGCCATAAGAACTTTGACATACCGAGACATAACACTGCAATGTTCCGTAGATCTAAATTCATTGCTTTAAAATTAATTGATGCCCTTCCTAATGAACTGAAAAACATCTCTCGCTATGAGAATTTCAAGAGAAAATATAAAGAATTCTTAATATCTGGCACTCTACACAGTAAATGAGTTTTTGGACAGAAATAGCCTCTAGTCAATTTACAGATAATTTTATATTACATATTTCATTTAACCCTAGTAAATTTGACTGACTGTTTTTTTGAATGTACTATTAGTTATTTAACCAACTAGTGTATTAATAAGGGCGATTAATGATCGAGATATTTTAACGTGCGAGCGAAGCGAGTGCGTTAATGTTCGAGATCATTAATCGCCTCTTAATATACGAGTTGGTTACAAAATTTTTCCGTCGACTATATTTCTCATTTCTCCTGCAATGAAGAAAACTTGGTTCGCCAAATCATCATCCATCCGGAAACTGCTAAGAATCACCCAGTAGTCTTGTTACTGACATTAGACACATTTGACATTTGTCGAAATGATCGACATAGGAAATAAATTCCTTGTGTTAGAAAACAGGGATTAATATCGTGTCAGAAACTTGGAAAGGCGAACCCGTTAACGGAAAATCGTCGATGAAATCCATATTTTCGATTTAAATGCAGATTCCGTAAGTTATAGCATAAACAATGAATGCACGCGGTGTATGTTTGGTTGCATATAAAACAATCGTGTATTAATAGACAAATCGTTCATTAATAGGGGTCATTAATGAACGATTTCATATACATTAAACTTAGTCGTTAATACGAGGTCGACGGAAAAATTACTGTATTGTATTGTTCTAATATTTTATGTATCTATTTGAGGATGTTTTAATCCAATTCATTTCAATTTTACACTAGGTATAAACAACCTGACTTGTCCAACACCCTTATAATTGTAGTAATTTATGGATCAATAAAGTTTCTATTTCTATTTCCGCCGCGGGCACGAATTCGTCCTTGGCAAAGAGGACCTATACCCAAAATAAGACACCTAATGTCATGTTGGTCCAGGTCTTCCCTCTTCCCAAATTTGAATCATCAGTCTCTACCGTGCGTTTTCCAAAGTATTCAAGTTACGTTACTCTTGTAATCTTGCCCCCAGAATGTCCCAGAGATTCTCAATGGGATATAAATCCGGGCTACGAGCTGGCCATGCCATGGTAGCGATACCGAATTCCTCTAGATAATGTCTCACAACTCAGGCGACGTGAAGCATGGCATTATCTTGTATCAGCAATAATCCTTGCTCTATATGTGGTTCTAAAATCACCAATTTGTACCTTTCAGCTGTAAGGCTTCCATTTATGATCACAAGTTCCATGCGCCCAATCAAATAAATGCCTTCCCAGACCATAGCCTGCTACTTTCGTGCTTTGGCCAATTGAATTCAATGAATTCATGTTGAGCTATGAAATTGTGTTTCTGGAGAAATAGTAAAAATAATGGAGTGAATCCAAAAACGAAATGTTGAAAAAAGATAAGGCTAAAAGTGTACTTTAAATGTCAACATAACTGTTAAGGTGGATGTATGCAGCATCATTTAACAATCATCAATTAACATCTATCATTTAACAAATAGCAATTAAAAGTTGAACTTCCTGTTTTCAATTGAGGTGTTTATGCAGACATTTTACAATTATCAATTAACAAGTAAGAAGTCGGTCCACTTTCAACTTTCTTACTTTGA